TATATATATGTGTGTGTGTGTATGTGTGTGTGTATATACCTTCCACATAAAAGCTTTCACATGGGCACAAAAGGCTATAATCCAATAGATTTGGGAAGTTCTCTCGAGCTGATGTATAATCGTTGGCGAATTTTCCTACTTTCATTGCAAGAACTGTCTCAAAATGATTTCCAAGACGTATAATGATACTGGCATAGTAAATTTGTTCTGTATGAAATTCTGTTCATTTTGCATTCTTCACGACAGTTAAGGCTATCATGGTGTGTATTGCTCATATTTTCTAAAATTATCTTTTGACCTTCAGTTTGTCTTACTATTATTTGTCAATTGTCTTAACAACAATTTGTTGACTCGCTTTCATCAGTTTGTCTCATTTCCTAATCAAATTTGCTTTAGAGTAAATCACTAATAAATAGTTATCCGATTTTTTAAATAAAAAACGTTTCGTTGCAACCTAGTCTACCTACATACATTTTCATTAAAAACTTCCCAACAAAACACTTAACTTCACAGAAGTCAAATGGGCCGTGCACAGACAAGCAACAACCCTGAGTATTTGGATGCCCTGGTCCTACAAACAGAGGATAGAGCTTGGGAGTTAGACCCTTCTGACCTTTCCTATCAACTTACTTCTTCGTTGGGCCGTGGCAGTTTCGGCATGGTATACCGTGGCCGACTTTCTCGACTCACCACTCCGGCGGCCATTGAATTTATCGGACAGAAACCTGTGCCCATCGTCTCCACTAATTCTCTAGTTAGTCCATTGTTCGCATAGCCCGTTTTATACAGTTGTGTTTGATGTGCTTCAAATAAAATAGGCTTTAGCTTGCTGCTCATAATAATTTCTTTGTTTTATTGTTTCACCCGCAAACCAACTCTAGGATACTGCTTATATAATTATAATTCGTCTCACTCCCACTGTAAGACTAGTAGGCTAAAAATAAATTTTCTAAAATAACTTCCTTTATCTCATTAAAAAGGTGTTTAGTCAAATTTAAGTCATAGCCCCAAAACCTAGATTTATTCCGACCCTGATCCTTTAAGTCATCTAGTTGGCGAAGGCAATAGCGTTTTCTGTATAGGAAGCAGACACTCCTTTGGCGCTTCAAAAAAAGAATAAGTTTGTTCATTTACATCAACAGCTATCTTATTTTTCTTTTTTAGACGTGGATCATTCCAATTGCCCTAGTCAACTGAACTGATGTAATGGTTTTCTTGATATTATTCCAGTCATATATGCTGACCAATGCTCACGTATTTATTAATAAAAAACACGTAAACTTAGACTAATTATATGATTTTTCAGTGCTTTTTTCATTAATTAGTTTTGGAACTCAAGATCACATTATTTACTTATTAATTTATTAGATGTTTTTTTTATTTTTCCAGGTTCGAAATGCCTCCGTATCGAAGTATCAACCTGTTGTAGTTCCAATTACACAATCGGCAAATTTTAAGGGCTTGGATGTAGCCGTCAAGGTAGGAATGATACCTATGGCATTAGGATTGCTTTGGCTAGTGATCCTATGGTCTACATTTGTGAGACTGCTTTAAGACGCTGAATTCAAATGCGTTTCCCAGTGTAATCGATTAAAATGGTTATTTATAACGTTATTTGTTTAACTAATCTGCTAGTTATGGTGACAGGATTTTGTACATTCCTTTTACTGCAGTTTGCGTAGTCGTCTATTAATCATAAGTATTTAGGAATTATGAACGAAATTTTTATAAAACAACCTTTTGATCTTTGACCGGAGATCATTAGTATTTAATTGGCTTAATTACTGTTAATAAAGATTATATTTGCTCGATAAAGTAGCTGATGCCAATGATTTCTGGATAATACGACCTTGAAAATGAAGTGTTAAATTCATGCTTATTTCACAATTCATTGGCGTAGTAACCAACAGTCACCGAAAAACCAATATTTAACCTCCATTAGTTGGACAAGACAAGTCGACTGTTTTACTTATTTCTTTAGATCCTCTAATGTTGTGAATAAGTGTGTAATCTTCGTATCCTGCAAAGTGTTTTACTTTAGACTGTTGTTTATCTAAGAAGGACGTGGACTGTTTCTAAAATATAAAACGCTTGACCTCTACAACTCCGAAAATGGAGGCCTCGAAATGAAAAGAGAAAGGGAACAAATGCTTATACCAATTTTCCTATTTTGAAACGGCCTAAATACAGTATGGTGAAGCTGATAATAGAACGATAATCATTTAAGATGGTGCCGAATAGAACATTCCAAACTCCGCGGTCCACTGCTGGGCAGTGAGGGAAAAGGAAAATAACGTGAGCGATTTAAACAGAATGTTAGATATTGTTGGAGGGACTTACATTTCGTATGAAAGTGCATGAAGAAGAGATTCGTTGGTCGATCTCACCAGATGAGGACGGAAGAATTCCGTTGTATTGCAACCGGAAGGCTTTTATACGATGTTCAAGTTGACGCAGTCCCTGGATAAGAACAACTTTTGGAAAAGCAAGGCTATGAAATTCAATAGATACGTCAGCTAAACTCATATCATTGTGGGAAAATTCTTCTACCAGTCCTTCATTACCTTAAACAAAATTGGGTGAATACATCTCATTACTGATTTACTGGTAGACACGAAAAAATAGTAATTCGAAAAAAAAGAGTTAGTATGTTTTGATGTTTTGTCTAGGTATACAAACATTCCTGTTCAAGGAGCTATTCAAGCTTTGGAGTAGCATCCAGAGATAACAAAAGGAATAAGATTGAGCGTGGCTTCCATTATTAGACTTATCAACCTATCCATGAGTATCACATATTTTGCCTTCGATTATAAGTTATACGAACAAACACAAGGACTAGCGATGGGATCTTGCCTGTCTCCCATTCTGGCTAACAATTTTATGGCAAGACTGGAGGAACACTTCCTGCAAGAGGCAATACTAACCCCCAAATGGTG